CGGCTCGGCTCGGTTTGGCTCGGCTCGTCTCATACACAAGCCGCAAAAAATTTTTTCTCCCGACGGCAGGTAGTGCTGCCCACGGCGGATGGCGGCAATTTGAATGTAACAGGTGGAAGTAGGGGTGGTATGTGGCGGATTTCGTTCGAGGCAGGGAGGGGCTAGGATAGATGCATATATGGACTGAATGATGTAGTTCCTTTGCCGATATATTAAGCAACGTACATTTGAAGGGGAGAGAGGCGAGGTAAAAAACGGAAAGGATGAGGAAGTGTGCTCCTGGGACTTCCCTTTTTATGAAACTAATGCTTAGGTAAAGCTGAAAGCGAATAAGTTCCATAAAGTGGGCAAAAACAGTGTGAATAGATGCCGGGGGATGAGGTCAGCCTTTGCTCCTGTGAAATTTTGAAGATAAAATAATTGGCCAACGCAAGGGCTGCCCGTGCGAAGATACGTTTTTTACATAGTTCCCCGCAGTTTTTGTCACTACCGGCACCGGTTTTTTCGGCAAATGCTTCTAGCTAAGCAGTTTAAGACTAGCCGCCAGAACGTCAGGAAACACCCCTTTAAAATTTCCTTTCTTGCTTTCCTGGCTCCTGGGTTAGCAACTTACTGAAAAAACTTTCACGGGCCAGTACGTGGGTACCACGCATACCCGTTGTTTGGGTTTGAGCTCGTTGAGACTCACGTGGACGGGGAACATCCTCTTAAAACTACAGTTTTCTAGCTTTTCGTTCTCGAGTTAGCAAGTTTCCCGAGAAAAACTTTGGTGGGCGCGCACGCGGGTACCACGCTAACCCGGGGACTGGGTTTGAGCTCATTAAAACCTACTTGGGCGGGAAAAATCCCCCTAAGACTTCAGCTTTCTATCTTTTCAGATCCCCGAGTTATCAACTTACCTGAAAAAATTTTGGCGAGCCCGTATGCGAGTACCATGCTTATCCGGCGGCTGGATTTGAGCTCATTAATTCCTACTTCGACAGGAGACATCCGCTTAGGATTTCAGCTTTCTGGCTTCCCAGATCTTCGAATCATTAAATTACCCGAAAAAAATTTTAACGGACCCGTATGCGGGTACCGCGCTTAACCGGGGGCTGTTTTTGAGCTCATTAATACCTACTTGGATGGGGAACATCCCTTTAAAATTCCTGCCCTCAAGCATTCTTGGTTCTCGAGTTAGCAGCTTACCCGTAAAAAACTTTGGCAGGCTCTTGCATAGGTACCACGCGGGTAGGACCGCCCATTTTGGGGATGGGGGCCCGTACGCGCATGTAGATTAAGCCCCCAGAGTTTCAGCCCTGTAGCCTTTGTA